AGAGGCACACAGTGTGGATCAGGGCCCCTCATGTTCTCGCCTTCCTTCCTCCTCCCTCCCTTATTTATTTATTTGTATTAAATAAATACATGCATTTATTTCAGGGTGCTGTGGTTGGCTTGGCTGCTGGGCTGGCCATGGCATTTTGGGTGGGCATCGGGGGCTTTGTTGCCAAAATGAAGACCCCAGGCCCCAAGCCCAGCAGCCCCCCGCTTGATGGGAACCTGACGACGGTTGCCATGACAACAATGACAACACTGCTGACCTCGACAACAGCCCCAGAGAGGTAAAAGGTGTGGGGTGTATGGACACTCCTCCCAAGAGCCCCCGAAGGGCCGAAGGGACTGGCAGTGGGGTTGGGGCTAGGGGTCTTTGGTGGGCAGCACCGAGACTCGGAGGACATTATCCTTCTGGAGGGATGTGCTATGGGACTTTGAGAGAGAGGGCAGCGGTCCATTTGCACAGTCATGCAAGGGAGGGGGAGGAGGCCTGGGCTGCAGTGGGGGGGGCTGGGGCAACTGGGGATGGGAGGGGGCTGGGGCAAACCTTACATTCCTTCCCTTTGGGGGGCTTCTTTGTGGGACCCCCCCCCCAAGACACCCAGGAGATTCTCCCCATGGCCACCCTCTTCTGTGGGCAATATGCTTCAGCTGTTTGTTTAGCCAGATTGAGGCTGGCAAGAGCAGCGGCCGGGGAGGGATCCTGGCATTTCTCCCCATGGACTTTGAGCTCCTTCTCCCTCAACCATGGCCAGGGCTTGGCTGGCTTTTGGAAGGAGCGCTCTCTCAGCTTTCTGCCTCCAGGTATTTGGGAAGTCTCTTCCTGGCTCCCTCCCCAGCTTAATGCCTCTGAAATAATCTTTCGATCAAGGGCAACTTTCTCCTCAAACAGTTTATTTAGTTATTAGAATATATATATTAAAAAAACAAGTACATATTGCTGTGTATCAGAGGATTTTAGGGCACCATACCACAAAATCAATTTAGAACAGTTTCAAGTGGTAAGAATAATTGTTTGTTGTTGATGACTTTTAGTAACTCTAAGGCAAAGCTATTATAGGGTTTTCTTGGTAAGATTTGTTCAGAGGAGGCCTTTCATTATCTTCTCCTGAGGCTGAGAGAGTGTGTGACCTGACCAAGGTCACCCATGGGTTTCATGGCCAAGCTGGGAATCGAACCATGGTCTCCAGAGTCCTCTACATCAAACTGGCTCTCAGAATCATCCTGGCCATTGTATTCCCCATCATCCCCATGTACGGATGTGAGAGCTGGACAGTGAAGGAAGCAGACAGAAAGAGAATCAATGCATTTGAGAGAATGTGTTGCTGGAGAAGAGTCCTTGGGATCCCATGGACAGCCAAGAAGACCAACAAATGGGTTCTTGGACAGATCAGGCCAGGACTCTCCTTGGAAGCAATGAGGGTCAAGTCGAGACTATCGTACTTTGGCCACATGATGAGAAGGCATGGATCACTAGGAAAAACAATAATGCTAGAAAAGATAGAGGGCAGAAGAAAGAGAGGAAGGCCACAGACCAGATGGATAGACTCCGTCAGGGCGGTTATTATGGGCAAGGGCTTACAGGATCTGGGCAAGACTGCAATGGAAGATAAGGATTCTCCTTGGAGATGCCTCATCCAAAGGGTCATCAGGAGTCAGAACAGACTCAAGGAGGGCAGTTAACAACAACAAAAAAATAGTTAAAACAATATAAACCATTACAGAGGGGACAATTGCATAAAGTTTTATTGAGGGGAGGAGGAGAGTCGGTCTCCCAGCCGCGGAAAGCCATGCTGAGGAAGCCTTTGCAGATGGTGGTTTATTTTTTAAAGCAAGGAACAGATCAAAATCAGCCTTCCTCCAGGGAGGTAGTAGTGGGAGCCTATGGTCAGAATAACAAATAGTGAATGTAAAACCAGTGTTAGAGGAGCAGCAAAGCAGAACGACATGATGAAACATTTCCCGCATGCTGACCTTTGGCAGAGCCAGCCGTCCAGCCTGGTCAGCTGATGGGGATGGCAAGGGGAGCCCTGCAGCTGGGTCACCCCACAGATCCTTGTAATCTGGGGGTAGGAGTTCTGTGGCCTTCTTCTGGATGTTTTTGGACTCCAGCTCCCAGCATTCCTCTCCATTGGGCATACACTGGCCAGGGGCTGCTGAGAGGGGCAGTCCAGGAACACCAGGAGTCTCATGTGAGTCCTACTAAATTGATGGGGACCCAGAGGATTGCTGTATGGAGCCTTAGACCCTTGGTGTCCGGTCTAGCCCAGTCTTGCCAACATGTCCCTTCCAACTAGCCCACTGACAAGGTCGTGTCTCCTGTGAAGTCCACAGGAAGCTGGGGAGGGTCTTTGGGGAAGAAGGAAGGAAGAGGTGGGGATGCTGGGACCCTCCTTGGAAGTGGAGGTGAAGGGATGCAAATGGCTGCCAACTTGTTCTCTTTGTGGCCCCTCCAGGCTCACAGGGCTGCGGAAGTTCTACAACCTCTCATACTTATGGTACAGCGCCCACAACTCCACCACCGTCATCCTCGTGGGGCTCCTGGTCAGTCTGCTCACGGGTGCGTATGTGGGGCCCTGGAGGTTGGGGGAGTGGGATCCCCCAAAGCCCTCCCAGATTAGGAAATCCTATGTAAGTGGAAAAGGGAGAGACCCTGGGAGGCTGCCACAGCCTGGACTGCCCCCCCCCCGGTCGTCTGAATCGTGTTCTTCCTTGGAGGGAGGGGAGCCTGTCTGGTTCAGCTTCAACACTTTTGTCCCAGTTTCCTATGAAATAACTGTGAAAACTTAATCAAACCAAGGGAGTGGGGGGCAGCCTGGAAAGCCAGGGGAGCTGTGTTTCCCAGCCAGGTCTCCTGGCGTCCTGCGGTTGGTCTTAGGCATGGGTGATCCTCTGTCCCGAGTACCATGCCTGGCTGTAGGCACTTGGCTTCTGACCCAGCCAACCAGGGTTGACCCCAGAGCAGTGTCCTGTCTAACCGGATCCATCCCTTCTCCTCCTCTCATGCTATCACCGTCTCCTCTCGTCCCTCAGGCCCCATGCGGGGGGAGGATGTGAACCCCCACACCATCTTCCCGGTCCTGCCCCGCCTGCTCTACTGCCTGCCTGCAAAGTACCACCAGAAGCTGCGCTGCGGCGTCCGAGACCCTGCGGAGGTAAGGCCTTAGAGGTGGGGGTGGTTGTGTGTCCTGGGATTGACATCCCCCCATTTTCTAGAGAGTCCCCATTCCCCCCAAAAACAATAGGGGGAGGTGGGCAGGGAGGGTGGAGGCCATTTTCCTGCTGCAGCCACATGCAATCCTGTGCCAGGTTGCGGGGGTCTCAAAGAATGGTGGGGACCCCTCTAAATGGCTTCCTACGTTCTTTGGAGTCTCCTCACTGAAAGAATCATGGAAAGGGGAAGCTGCCCTCCTTCTAGACCCACGCTGTTGCATCCTTTTGCTCGGCTGCATGCCAGTGTGGCCTAGTGGTTGGAGCATTGGACCAGGGTTTGAATCCCCCCTTGGCCAGGGAAACTCACTGGGTGCCCTTGCACAAATCACATGCTCTCAGCCTCAGAGGAAGGCAATGGGGACAAACCCCCTTTCAAGAAATCTTGTCAAGAAAACTCTGTGAGAGGTTTGCTTAAGGGTCACCATAAGTTGGAAGCAATTTGAAGGCACACAACAACCACAACCACAACGCATGTGCCACTCAGAGGCTGTTGGGGCTGTGAGAGGACGGCTGGGGACAGTGGAAATGTCTGGATCCCCGGTCTCTTCTGTGGTCACAAAACATTGTTAGAAAAGTTGCCCAATATCGTTTTTTTGCCCCCCCAAAAAAACCCCTAGAACAGAGGTAGGCAACCTTTCCCCTTTAAGGGCCGAGGGACTTCAGCTCACAGAAGCCTCAGCCATGTTGGCCAATAGTCCGTGGGATTCTGGGAGCTGAAGTCCCTCGGCCCTTAAAGGGGAAAGGTTGCCTACCTCTGTTCTAGAAGCATGGAAGGAGGTTTTGACACTGTTCCTCTCCAGGCCATTTTAGGCTTAGAAGAGGCCCCTTTTCTCCTGACAGGAGGAAGTGACCCAAAATGTAGTGAAATTGCCCTCCTGTGCTGACTGGGGACACTTTGGGGCCAAACATCCTTTATTTCAGGGGGTACAGCTCTCCGGTTCAATCAAGGAACACCTCGGGAGCTGCAAAACCTGACTTTGCAAAACCTGAGCAGAGCAGTGATGGCTCTGGGAGGTCTTTCATTCACAGAGTAGCCATAAGTCAAAATCAGCTTGACAGCCATCAAGGACTACAGCAGGTCCCCTGGCGTCCATTGTGACCTTCCAGCCCACCAACAGTTGCCCATTCCTGCCCTCCATCAAGGAGAGCTCTTTCTGCCCCAAAGGCAGATTCCGTGTCCAAGAAGGTCTTGAGCGGTTTTGGGGGGGTATGGCGGGGAGGGGGGCCGCAAGGCCAAGGGCTGGCACCAACCGGATTATCTTAGCTGTGCTATTTTAAAACAGTGCAGTATAATAGGGTGTGTTTTGAAATAACACAGAAGAACATCATGTCCCGCATGCAGGCTGGCTGCAAACAGGGACTGGAGGCTGTCAGATAACCAATTAAAACAAATTCAGTGGAGCTAAAACATGCACAAGGTTAAACACAAGGTTAACCTTAAAATGAGACTAAAGTGGCCAGGACGGTAAAAGCAATTTAAAACGCTGTTGTTGCAAATTGCCGTCCAGTCGGCTGCAAAGTGTGGCGCCCCTACGAAGCGCCCTTGGCCACCCGCTGCTGCCCTGCTCAGGTCTTGCAGAGTCAGGACAGATGCAGTGGCTCCTTGGCCTCTGCTCCGATTGTTGTTCTTGTAGCTGCGTGCCTCCAAGTTGTTTGCGACTCACGGTGACCCTAAGGCAAACCTATCATGGGGGTTTCTTGGCAAGTTTGTTCAGAACGGGGTTTGTCCTTGCCATCTTCGGGGGCTGAGAGTGTGTGATTTGCCCATGGTCACCCAGTGGGTTTAAATGGCCTAGCTGGGATTCGAACCCTTGTCTCCAGAGTCATAGTCTGACACTCAAACCACTCCACCACACTGGCTCTGACTGCCCCTTGCTTTATCAAGCATTGCCATCTTTTCTAATGCATTCACTCTTCCCGTGACTCCTGGATCTCTCGGCGGCTTTTGATACCATCGGCCATGGGGTCCTTCTGAGCTGCCTTTCTGGGATGGGACTTGGGGGCACTGCTCTGCAGTGGTTCTGGTCTTTCTTGGAGGGGCAGACCCAGAAGGTGGTGTTGGGAGGCTCCTGTTCGACTCCTTGGCTGCTGGCCTGTAGAGTCCCACAGGGTTCTCTTTTGTCCCCCACGTTTGTCCCTACATGAAACCGCTGGGAGAGGTCATCCAGAACGTTGCCTGTGATTGGTGGGGTTACACTCCCCCGAAATCTCCGGCTCGCCGCTTGGGTGTACTCCTGGACTCTATGTTGAGCCTGGATGCCCAGGTTTCAGCAGAGTGCATTTGCGTGCGCCAGCTGCGCCCATTCCTTGAGACTTCAGGTCTGGCTATAGTGACACATGCCTTGATTACATCTTGTTTGGACTACTGTAACACACTGTGCTTGGGGCTGCCTTTGGAAACTGTTCGGAAACTTCAGTGTGCGCAGAACGCCGACTGGGGCCAGTTATAGGGACCATATGACTCCCTCGATGAAACAGCTTCACTGGCTATCAGTTCGTTTCTGGGCACAATTCAAAGTGTTGGGTATGACTTATACACGGCTTAGGTCCAGATTATTTGAGAGACCGTATCTGCCCATATGAACCACCTAGAGCCCTAAGAGCTTCAGGAGGAGGCCTTCTCTCAGTCCCGCCACCATCACAGGTTCGCCTGCTAAGGACCCGAGAGAGAGGGCCTGCCCTTTGGAACTCCCTTCCACAAGAAGCGAGGCTGGCCCCCTCCTTGCTTGCTTGTGCCAGCAGGCAAAAATAGCTCTTTTCAGGCAGGCTTTTAATGCATAATGCAAAATTATGGGATGGATTTTATAGGGGTATTGTGGTTTTAATGTTTTATTTTATATTGTTTTTAGAATTTTATTTGTGAGCTGCCTTGGGTCCCTTAGCAGAGAAAGGCGGGATAGAAAATAAATAAATAAATAAATAAATAAATAAATAAATAAATAAATAAATAAAGCATATGAATAATAATAATAATAATAATAATAATAATAATAATAATAATAATAATAATAATAAATTTTATTTCTACCCCGCTTTTCCAAGAAGATCAAAGCGGCTTACAAAAGATTAAAAAGACCAATACAATTCAAAGATTAAAAACCGGTCCAAAGAAGAGAACAGGAATCAACTAAACCACAAGATGTCAAGATGTATGTTTAAACAAATGATTAAAAACAATAAGAAGCTCTTTAAAAGTTGAATCCCAGTTTAAAACACTAGAGCTCCCTATTAAAAGCCCTTTCTTTGGAAACATGCATTTCTCAAAAGCCAGTGAGAATAAGAAAGTTCCTTGCTTACCAACAGAAGGAGAACAAGGGAAGGCCACTTGAAGCCTCCCTCGGCTGGGAGTTCCACAGGCTAAGTGCAGCCGCCAAGGAGGCCCCGTCCCATGTCCCACCACAAAGACGGGGGGGGGGTTCCCGGAGGCTCATGGGGGAGACTGGGTCTGTGGGATAGCTGGACCCTTGTGTGGGGACGGTCCGGGGCTCTCTGACTTGCCCTCTTGTCTTGTCTTCTTAGGATGGGAGGAGCCCACCACCCCCCTCTCTGTCCGCGGAGAAGACCAGCAATGGGATGCTGAATGGACCACCGGAGGGGCTGCCCCCTGGGGTCGACCCCAAGGGAGAGGAGCCGGGGGAGGGCTTCGTCCGGGAAGACGGGGCCCACACCTACATCCTGCGGGAGACGTCCCTCTGAAATGGACAGACGGACGGACGGATGGATGGAGGAAACAGGCGGAAGTGGGGAGTTTGCGGGGGTCTCCCCCTGATCTGAGAAGAAGGCACCCAGGGTTCCCAAACCAAAGGAGTGCTCCCCGACCCTCTTTCGGGCCTTTCCTGGCTCACCCGGAGCTGCATCCCAGGCCAGCTCCCTCCAAAGGGCCCTGGGACCATGGTAATAGGCTGCTGCTCCTTTTACCATACTGTGAATGTGCCAATCTCTAGGGGAGGGGTCCAGTTGTCTCCCCCCCTCCCGAAACACCAAGCACAAGAGGCCACGGCGGGGCATTTGCTCTGCCCCCGGCCCACCCATCTCAGGTGTTGGGGAGGGGGCCACCAAAGATGAAGCCATGTGGGGACCCCTCACAGTGGGGTCACCCTGCCTGCCGCTCTTGCCCCCTCATTCCGCCCTACAACCAGCCCCAATACTTCTGCCCCTCTTCCCTCTGGGCAGTTCCAGCAAGTGATGGGGCACAGGAGGAAGGGCAGGATCCAGCCCACTGCCCACACCACGGGCCTGGCCCCTTGCCAGCCCCCCAACCTCCAATGGGGGCCACTCAGAGGGCAGCCGGCGGTCTCCGGTTCCAAAGCTGGGGGTACCTGTTTGGGGGGCTGGGCAAAACGTTTTGTCTTTCCCCCCCCCCCATGGTCTTTTTTGCCTCTGTCTCTGTTTTTGCATTCTGTGTTCCTTGTGTGCAAGAAGTTGTTCTATTTTCCTGGTCCTTGTTTCTTGTCTTTCTGACGCTCAGCAGCTGGTTTTTGCTGCTGTCAGTAAAAATGGTTCTCTCTAGCGCTCTGTGTTTTTGCATCTGGTCTCTGGAGGTGCCTCCGTGTGTTTGGGGGGGGGGTCCCACCTACACCAATTGCCTCTGCCTTCCGCCACCTTACCTGAGGGTCTTTCTCCTCAGGTGACCTTCCATGGGGGGCAGGCAGATTGCAATGGCCATATGAGGTCAAGACTGCAAGGGAGGGGGCAGTGGGTGTGGGCAGAGAGTCATAGAGTTGGAAGAGACCCCAAGGGCCATCCAGTCCAAACCCTTTCTGGCATGCAGGAACTCACAATCAAAGCATACCCAATAGATGGCCATCCAGCCTCCGTTTAAAGACCCCAAAAAAGGAGACCCCACCACCATCCAAGGGAGCATCTTCCTCTGTTGAACAGCTCTCATTGTCAGGAAATTCCTCCTAATGTTTAGGAAGTGGAATCTCTTTTCTTCTAGTTTAGATCCATTGCTCCTTGTCCTATTCTCTGGAGCAGCAGAAAACAAGCTTGCTCCATCCTCAATGTGACATCCCTTGAAATACTTAAGGGCTAGCGCAGGGGTAGGCAACCTGTCCCCTTTAAGGGCCAAGGGACTTCAGCTCCCAGAAGCCTCAGCCATGTTGGCCTATAATAGTCCCATGTTGGCCAATAGCTCCTGGGATTCTGGGAGCTGAAGTCCCTCGGCCCTTAAAGGGGAAAAAAGGTTGCCTACCCCTGGGCTAGCGTATCACCTCTTGACCTCCTCTCCTCCAGGCTAAATATACCCAGCTCCCTAAGTGATGATTTCCAGACCCTTGACCATTTTGGTCACCCTCCTCTGGACATGCTCCAGCTTCACAAGATACTTTTTGAATTGTGGTGGCCAGAACTGGACACAGGATTATTCCAGGTGAGGCCTGACCAAAGCAGAAAAGAGTGGCACTATGACTTCCCTTGATCATTCTAGATTGTTGCAGGTGGCGTCCCTCAGAAAAGGCATTGGCCCCTCGGCCCTAAAAGGCCACCGCTGGCCTCGAGGGGTCTCCATGACCAGGTAGTGGGCTGAGAATCATAGATGTGGAAGTGGACGCTCAGGGTCACCTCTTCCAGCCTTGTGCTGGCAATGTGTGGGGCATCTCGCAACCGAAGCACCCCAGAGAGGCGGCCATGATCCAGCCTCTGGGCCTCCCTAGCGACACCCTTCCACCGTTGATCACCAATTTCTTTGGGAAAAGGTGGGGACTGATATGGTGTTGGAGAGGAGAGGAGAGGAAGGGTCTCTCAGTGGTCACTCCATTGCCCACGGTTCCTCCATGGTGGCTGCACCAGCCTCTCCCGCCATTTCCCTCGAGAGTAATCGCAGCGGCTGTGCCTGGAGCTTCCTCCTGGGCTTGGAGCAAGGCTGGCCAGCTCAGGGACTAAGTCTCAGGAGTGGTCAAGGAAATGGCCAGACTCACACCATTCCTCCTCAATCTCTGCTGTCCTCCTCTTGCCATCATCCCTCCATCCCTCCCTCCATCCCTCCCTCCATCCTCACCTGCTCTTGGTGCTGCATTTCTTCCATGAGTAAACATCCCTGCTGAGATGGCCGTGCCTGACCTGTCCACCTTGTGGTCCAGATGTCTGGGCTAAGCCTTGGGGTTGCCTGTCCCTTTCTCCCTTTGTTTTATTTTTTATCTTCCCTTCCCTGGCTCCTGACCACCTTTCGGGTGGTCCTAATAAAGGGGTCTCCCACCCTGAATTGGACTGAGGACCGTATCCCAGCGCAGCCTGGCATCGCCTGGACCTCCCACTCCTCCTCGTCCCGTAAAACTTGCTGGCACAGACAGGGATGTCCCTAGGGCCGGTGTCTCCCGGTGCGGTCACTCATGGTGTCGCCCCCCCTTCGCCATTGACCTCTTCCCATTTCACACCATGCAGAATCCTTAGTAATGTCTTTTGTACTAACGTGCTCATAAATCGTAATTGCCATATGTAATGTCATGGCAATAGTTGCTGTGACACAAACAACTAGCAAAATTAAAATTATACCTTTAAATTACAATATACGCAGAACGTAAATGTGCTCACATAGACATAGTTTCATGTGGTAGAATTCAAAGATATAGCCGTGTTAGTCTGTAGAATCAGTCTGTAGACAGAGAGATCTTGTAGCACCTTTGAGACTAAATGCAAGAAAGAAGTTGGCAGCATGAGGAGCTTTCAGATCACTTCAGTCTGCATCTGAGGAAGTAGATTGAAGGCTAGGAAAGCTCCTCATGCTGCCAACTTCTTTCTTTCAGTTAGGGCCTTTGCAGCCTGCTAGAAATAGTGCAAATTGAGTCCACTTTAACTGTCCTGGCTCAGTGCTAGGGAATCATGGGAAATGTATTTTTTTCTGAGACATTGAGCCTTCTCTG